GACAGGAACGGTGTCGACAGGAACGGTGTCGACAGGAACGGTGTCGACAGGAACGGTGTCGACAGGAACGGTGTCGACAGGAACGGTGTCGACAGGAACGGTGTCGACAGGAACGGTGTCGACAGGAACGGAGCCGACGGAGAACGACAGCGACAGGAATTGCGTCGGGAACGACTCGAACGCAGAAGTTGGACTCGTCGAAAATGCACGAGAGCCAGGAATACCGTGAAGAAAATGCACGAGAGCCAGGAATACCGTGAAGAAAATACCATGAAGCCAGGAGTTCTCCCAAAAGGGGAACGGAGGAGCGAATGGAACCTGGCAGATGCAGGAAGGTCTACCGCTGCAGCCGCTGCAGCAACTGCCACCTGGCGGTGGTTCGCGTGTGATCGTATGCAACGCGGTGGATCGAAAGTAAAACGTGGAAGGTATTCTGCTTCTTACGCCGTCGATGGTGACGACGTAACGGTGACGGCCGACGGCGACGGCTTTCGGAGCTCGCGCAACCATCCTCAAGAAAATCCGCATGCAAAATCGTGTTCGGTGCGATTCTCGAGTTTTCCCCGTTTTTCGACGGCAGGGAGAGAAACGCCGGCCCCGTAAGAAAAGTCATTACGCGACTGAAACGAAGGCCTTTTTTTCCTCACGGAAATTCTCCGCCGACTTCGATCGCGACGTGCGGTCGCCGCACGTGGCAGAAAAAAAAAAGTGAAGCGATACGAGGAAAGGGACTGGGAGAGCGCGATCGCATGCTTTTCGCATCACTCTTTCGGACTCCTTCTGCTGGGCGATATTCGCGAGAAATGATTTCGTGCAAAGATTCCGGCGATGTAAGCAGTAGTGGTAGAACGAAAGGCATCGGTTTTGTAGAGGATTCGTTTTAGGGAGAGGGTGCTGCCTTCGCCATGCATCAAGGGGGAACTTGGGGTAATACGACCATTGGGGTAATATGGCCATCGGGGTAATACGGCCATTGGGTTTACAAAAGTTTAAAGGGCTTCCTGTGATTTTTTTTGGCACTATTTATCCATACATGCAAAAACGACGCAGCGTTTTCCTGCAATGTGAGACCACTTATTTTACACTCGTAGCACATGTTCACTTTAATTCATGATTGATCACTCCTCTCACACCCACAGTCTCGAGACACAGGCTCCCGATCACGTGCGATGCTACTCAAAAGCCAAAAGGCGTTGCAATCCTGCTTTTCGCAAATGGTCTTGGAGTCGGATAGTAATGTCGACTTCTTTGCGAGTCCTCGATACAGTTAATGAATTCTTTTTCAACTGCTGAACCTCCATTATTACGTTTGAAGATACTCGGCACATGTTTCAGCACATTTCACACGCACATGGAAAACCTTGAGTTGTTTTTTGAGAAGTGGCCGTATTCCCCCAACAATACGGGTCATGTGGCCTCTTGGGACCAACTTGGAAAAGATCCATGCGGTTTTTTGCATGTACCTTGCTGGGATTTAGTAAAGGAGATATGAATTAGGAACATTGTAAAAGTCAAATTCGACCTCGATGGGCCATCATGACCAGATTTCATTTTGTAGGGCCATATTCCCCCAGATTCCCTTAAGCATCGGGAAGTTCTTTCTTGCCCACAGGATTCCGAGTGTTCGTCGTTCCAGTTTTCTGCCGTCGACTTCGTTCATCTCGTTGCGTTTCCTGTTTCGAGGGCTCTTTCGGTGTCGTCGTGGTTATTCCGTGTCTGTATCGTTCTGGGTCTTTCATTTTCTTCGTCGACGCAGTTCGGCGTCTGCATCGTTCCTGTCGTTGCCGTTCCGCATGGCCGTAAATCCTGTTTTCGTCGTTCCGGCCTCGTTCGGCTGTCGGCTTGGTTTCGCAGAGGCGTCATTTCTGTCGTCGTTACTCTGCGACACCCACATTGCCACCTTCCACTTTGCCGTATTGCCACCTTGTCTGCCTTCCGCGAGTTTTGCCGAGCCCGGTTCCCCCTCTGCCTCTCCGTCTCCGACGAGATGAGACCTCGTTCTGCCCCCGCATCTCGTTTCGCTCTGCGGCTACGTCCTCCCTACCTCCTCTCTCCCGAATTAAAAAGCCACGAGAGGCTCGTTGCCTCGCGGGGAAGAGCTAGCGCCGTAGAGCGAGGAAGTCCTTCCTTCTTCCTCTTGCATCCTGCTCAATTCCAGGCAGCAATTCGGTCCGGAGGATTCGAGTCGGTCTCCAACCCGATCGTCCCTATCGCATCCCGATCATCTCGATCATCCCGATCATCCCGATCATCTCGATCGCCTTCTCCCTCCATTTAAAGCGTTTCTCGGCGAAATCCCGACGCTTGGCAAAAGACGCTCGGCACTGACGGCAAAACGCTTCGCACCTATAACGTATTTATTCGTACGCGTTGCATCGTTTTTCGCACCCTTCCTGCGACGAGATGGCAGGATCGTGTAATGCGTATGGATCATTTCGAAAGATCCACAAGGTGTTTCGCCGCTTATGCGCAGCAATTTGCAGCCGGCACGGAAGCCAGCAAGAAGCACCGTACAGGGTGAGCCAAAAAACCTGACGGTTTTCAAATATACTGCACTCGCTGCTCGTATTTTAATGGGGTTTGTGGCATTTGAAAGAGGATCGACCGAGCTTCAAAGTGGTGTAGACCTACTCACGTTTCCAATGTCTTCGACAGTTTCAGAAACTCGGAAGCTCATACGAACTGCTAAGAAAACATGCCCTCTACGTCCGAGTGTGGGACAACGCGGTTTCTCTTTCTTCTTCAAATGAGCTCCAGAACTTCTAAAATCGTTGAATATTTTTGAAATGTAAGTACACCGTTTTAAAGCTTATCCATTCCTCTTTCTAATGCCTCAAAATACATTAAAATATATGGAGCGAATGATGCGTCCGTTATTTTTTTTGCCCCACTCTGTATATCCTCTGCAAGAGTTTGCAGGGATGAGCTCGTTGCCGTTCGGAATCCACGCATCTGGCAGATTCTACGAAAGAGGAACAAATAAGGATAGTTTTTCTGTTCGAATGGAATGTACGAACCGTGATGTTTCGCGAGAGGATGAGATCGAGATGTCCCCGATCTCATCTCATTCTTTCATCCGTTGATCGGGTTGAATTTTACGCCTGGGGAACATTCGCACGTGCGATTCCGGGGACAGACGGGGGAAATAAAACTCGAGGGATTCGGTTCGAGACCGGTCAGACTAGGCGCGTAGCTTCGCAGGTAGGTCAGAATTTCTCCTGGCTACTTTAATTTCGTGGGCACATCGAGAAGCTGAACGGGCATGGAACTCAGGCTTCGCGGTCGGTGGAGTTCGAGCGCCGTCTTAACGAACCCGGATTTTTTTCGCGCTCGAATGATCGTGCATGAACTCGAGCTCTCTTCCATCCTGCTGTTGATACCAGCCGAGTCGTTGCACTTGGGATGTATATTTGGATCACCGTATGCAGATGGTTGCGACAGAGGAGGCACGAGCATATAGCCGGCGAAGAAATTTCGCTTCCCAGAGTCACCGCGGGGTATACACTGTTTTCGGATTGAATTGGTACTGTGGTACTGTGGAGAACGTGGAGTACTGTGGAGAACGGAGAAAACACACGCTTTCCAGACGATCCTCAAGATGCTCCTGATGCTCCACATGGTTTTTGGATGGTTCTATTAATACTTCACCTTCCTCCCAAAAGGTGTCCTGCCTGTACTTGATGGAAGTGCTCCTAGGGGGGAGGGGACAGACGATCCTCAAGATGTCAAGCCTGATGCTCCACATGGTTTTTGGATGGTTCTATTAATACTTCACCTTCCTCCCAAAAGGTGTCCTGCCTGTACTTGATGGAAGCGCTCCTAGGGGGGAGGGGTGGGGGGTACCAATTCAATCCGAAAACAGTGTACGTCGAATCTATTCTCGCCGACGAAGTAGTAGAGGTGTCGCGACGTTCGATCATGGCCCCTCGTAGGCTGCACTCCACGTGCTTCCCCGGCAGGCGCAGCTCGTTCTTCCTCGTGGTCGACAGGACCCGATGTGTGATGTCTTTTCGTTGAAGCTTCCGTCAATTCTACGATGAGCGTGATCCTCATACAGCCCATGAGACGCTTGCATGGCAGGTCTCGCCCGCCTGCTTCTTGGACGCAATTCCGGGCCATGTGCAGGGTAAGCTAGGGCCTACATTGTATTTTCGGATCGACTTTTCCCTCATTTTCTCCATATTTTTCAATAGTCTTTACTGTCAGGTCGCGAGGTAGTAGGTTCCTTCTCTCATGAAGGAATTTCCCTCCATGGGCTTGGCTCATTGCTATATCTCTTCGCCATCAATGAATCCTAATTACTATAGGACATGGCAAAAAAAGACCACTGATATTTAACTTGTATATCTAAGCTCTCAGTGGAGCCTTTTATGAAACTTGCACCGGGCATGGATTGATATGTTCCCAACAGACTTGTGAAATTTCATTCAAATTGATATTGCCACATGACCACGATCATTCAAAATGAATTGACAATTACAATAGATAAGGGACTCCTATTCCTTTGAAGTTCTCAACCAAGGGAAGGAAAGAGTACCGTAATGGACCAGCAGAATGGTACATGATATGTATCAATTGCAAGCTTTTAGATGCCTAAGTTGCATTTTTGCATGTTTTAGCTGAGAAAGTTAAGGAAAGAGTTTGTAGTTTTAATGTTAATGTTAATGGTAATGGTAATGTGTGGATTTTAGACTAGGCTAGCTAGCATGAAGTGGCATGCATGTGAACAGAAATGGGGACAGCCATATTGAACGGAGGGGAAGAGCACCCATTTTCATTGGCACAGAAAGCCTCTTCACTGCCCCTGTATTCCCCTTAGAATAATATGATCATTTGAGTCTTTTTGGGTTTTCACTAAACCCAAGTGCACTCTAACCTCAGAGAACTAGTGATAGACACACCCTGGGAGCTGCATTCCTTCTATGTTGGGCTGAAAGAGTGAGAAAGTCAACCTATTTTGGAGAATGATGGGTCAGTTGGGTTGGAAAATAATCGTGGCCAAAGGCCGTGACCCTTTCCTAACCCAACTGACCCATCATCCTCCAAAATAGGTTGACTTTCTCACTCTTTGGCCTTTGACACCGAACCAGAAGGGCAAAAATATAGCAGTTCACTAACCATGCCAGTGCAATGACAGGTCTCACCAGAATGACAAAGACTAAACCAGAAGGGCGTAATAAAAAAAAAAACAGACTCAGGTCAGGTCATTCTTTGGACTGACCCATAACCCAAGTACAGTGCGCATGCCTGGGAAGGCCATGCCAAGGGTAGCAGACACAAGGGCCTGGGTGGGGTGTGTGACATGGCTGCTCTAGGATGCTCACAGCATGTAACTATTATATCTACACATTAATATTATGCACTCATACCTCAACTCTCTCAGTAGAAACTGATATCACTGTATCTACTTATAAAGTACTATCATTTGATATGTCTCTTGTGCCATTCTGCTGGTGGTCCACCCTGGAACTCTTCCCTGAAGGTTATCAAAACTATTTGCGAGAAAAAGACTGCTTAAAAATGAATTTCTATGTAAGAGAAGTTGGACATGGTCTGGATAATATGCCTACAGAACACTCAGGCTTGTCCTCCACTCCACTGCCAACACAAGCTCTTGTCCATTTTTGTTATCCAACTTCTTTTTAATAGTTGCTTATAGCCTTGTATCAGAGCAATGAATTTAGATATCTTGAAGATATGTTTGAAACATATTCATCACAGTGAAAGTTTTTTTAACAAAAGCTCCTGCAGGAGCAGACATACATTGGTTAAAAGTCATTGGTCTTTCTTTTTTTCACCATACCTGGTACATGCCTCATAAACACCATTGATAATAGCATCAGAATGGTGGGGTGGGTCTGTGAAAGTCAATCCTATAACATTGTTGATCTGAATTGCATCATTCTCCAGGAATACCAACCAGAGAAGGGAAAGTGGTAATTAGACTATCAAGGTTGGGTCTAACTGTTTTCTGTAGTCACTTTTTATAAGGTAGGATTTCCATGACCTTATTTTTTTTCCATTTCCAATGGATTTTGATATGAAAAGGAGTTCACCAGCTCAGTATGTTACCAGTGAGACCAAGATGTAGAGATTAAGATGTGAACAGCAACTCATTTTGAGAGGCATGTTATTGCAATTTTTTACCCTCTCCCAATTTCTGTTCATGACAAAAGTTGCACTGTCCACCCTCTGAAGGTGTATGCTTGAGAGTCACTGGTTGGTAAATGAAGTCTATATTTCTTTTCCTCGGGCCAGGTAAATTTGTGAAGAATTCCAAAGCCAGACCTGTAACAGGGGAGCATGCAATTGGGAACAAAAAGCATTATTCCTGGTGTGGAGCTTGTGCCTTGGTTCTTTGTCACTCAGTCACTGTCTAAATACAGATATGAGAGAAGCTTGAGAACCATCTTAAATTCTTGAACAGAAGATTTGGGACTCAAATCCATTGTGCAGGCACAATGACTGACTCCTTACAATTGATAGTACTTTTAGGTTTTTTCCTACTTGAATTATCTATTTCTTTGGTCAGTTTTCTCATTGCTTGTCTGGTGAAACCATCACAGGATATGAGTTATCCTTGAATCCAGTCAATCTTCCATTCACAATCACCCAGCATTTGGCCTTTAGAAATGGAGCTTCCCCTTGACAAGTAAAAATCCAATTCCATTATGGGAAAGATTGAGCAAGCATAAAACTAGCAATGATCTAGTGGTGCCACCTCTTTTCATTTCTGTGAACAGCAGTCTCATACATACAGACAGACCATGTTCAGTTCAGGTTACATAGAAGGCCTTGGAGTGCAAGCAGATATTTTTTAATTAAACCAACACAGTGCTCTCACATGATCCATGCTCGCATTTGTGAGATCTCAATACAAAAGCTGGATGTTTTGGGTGATGATATCATAAATTGCAATCCAGGCTTGTAGGAGTCTTAATGGTCAGCACGGTTGTGCAGTACTATTTTCACAGATCTCTTTGTATTGTCTTATTGAAATAGGCCATAAATTGAATTGAATGAAGTTGCATGAAATGAGTCAAATTTAATCCTATTTCATGCTTTATTTGGATTTTTCAGAAACATGAATTAATGAGAATGTCGAGATTCAGTCTTTCCCAACATTAGTGAATCATGTAGAGATCTGTGAACTTATTTCTGATAGCACATTGATAATAACAACTCCCATACCTGTTTCTAAGGCAAGGGAGGGCATAAGCATGGTCTATACATCCATTGTTCATTCCACTTCCCTCAACCTGTGCTTTGGGGAGATTTCATTTGTACTGTTACATCCTACAGGTTCTCCCATAGTTGCACCCAATGCTACAGTAGTTCAACCTCCACTCATTTATTGAAGAAATAACTTGGCAAAGTCTCTTCATTGTTTAAATTGTTAATATGGACATGTACTTTGTAACATGGTTCCATTAATCACATTTAAAAAATATTTAGTAATTTTTTTGTTGGTTTTAAAATATCTTTCTGCTTTACAGGATGCAACCAGGATATCCTTTACCTCTGGGAAATTGGCAAAGTTTGCTGATGGCTGTGCAGTTGTATGCCAGGGAGATACAGCTGTCATGGTGACAGCTGTGTGCAAGGATAAACCACCTTCATTGTCTCAGGGTTTCGTCCCTCTCACTGTTGACTTTCGCCAGAAAGCAGCTGCAGCTGGACGCATCCCCATGAACTTTCTTCGACGGGAACGAGGTCCCACCGACAAGGAAGTCCTCACCAGTCGCATGATTGACCGGTCTTTAAGACCCATGTTCCCTCTTGCATTTTCAGGAGAAACACAGATCATTTGTAATCTCCTGTCAGTGGATGGTGTGCATGACCCTGAAGTTTTGGCCATCAATGCTGCTTCTGCTGCCCTGAGCATATCAGATATTCCTTGGTCAGGTCCTATTGGAGCAGTTCGGGTTGGTCTAGTAGATGGGAATGTGATGATCAACCCAACCAGACGGGAACTTAGTCAGAGTACTCTGAACCTCATTGTATCAGCTGCTGAACGGAACAAGCTTGTGATGATGGAAATGTCAGGGAATGATGTCCTCATTCAGGATCTGATGAAGGCAATCAAAGCAGCTGTAAAAAGCTGTCAGGCCCTCATCCATGATATCAAGGCATTGCAGAAGGAATGTGGGAAGCCCAAGAGGATCTCTGAGCAACCTCACACAATTCCGCAAGAGTTGGTGGATAATGTCAAAAAAAGATGTGATGAGAAGTTCAGGAAAATATTTACTGATCACTCACACCACAAATTGTCTCGGGATGATGCTGTTAATGAATTGAGGTTATGGGTCATCCAAGAATTGAAATCCAGTGATTCTGCTTTAGATGAGCAGGCTGTGAATGCTGCATTCGGAGAACTTGCACGGGAGGTATTTCGAGACCTGATCCTAGTGACAGAATGTCGTTGTGATGGACGCTCCCTTACTTCGTTGAGGCCAATTGAATGCGAGGTGGACTTGTACAAACCTCTACATGGTTCAGCTTTATTCACACGTGGACAGACACAGGTCTTATGTACAGTTGCTTTTGATTCTCTAGACTCAGCCCTTAAGTCTGACCCAATTTCTGTGATCACAGGTGGCATGAAGGAGAAAAATTTTTTTTTGCATTATGAGTTCCCACCATATGCAACAAAAGAGATTGGTTCTGCATTTTCTTATGGAAGGAGAGAACTAGGCCATGGTGCTTTGGCTGAAAGGGCACTAAGACCACTCATTCCCTCTGATTTCCCCTTTACAATTCGTCTCACATCTGAAGTCCTAGAGTCCAATGGTTCTTCTTCCATGGCATCAGTGTGTGGAGGCAGTCTTGCTCTGATGGATGCTGGTGTCCCTTTATCGACAGCTGTGGCTGGTGTAGCAATGGGCCTCATAACTAGAATCCAAAGTGATGAGATTCAGGATTACAAAGTTCTGACAGACATCCTTGGCATTGAGGATTATATGGGTGACATGGATTTCAAAATTGCAGGGACCAGACGAGGAGTGACTGCCATACAGGCTGACATCAAGCTCCCTGGGATCCCATTGAAAATTGTGATGGAGGCAATAGAGCAGTCAACCAAGGCCAAGACACAGATCCTAGATATCATGAACCAAACAATGAAATCAGCTCAGACTGAACATAAGACAAATTGGCCTGTGTCTGAGACCATGGATGTGCCAGTTCAAAAAAGAGGAGCCTTTCTTGGGTTTGGTGGAATGAGATTAAAAGCTCTGACAGCAGAGACAGGAGTTCAGGTGACTCAGATCGATGACACGCATTATTCCTTGTTTGCACCAAACCAGGCAGCAATGGAGGAAGCAAAGGCAATGATTCATGAATGGATGAGTCAGGACCGTGAACCTAACTTTGAATTTGGAGCCATCTACTCAGCCAAAATTGTGGAGATGCAAGAGAATGGAGTCATGGTGACCTTGTATTCAAACATGAAGCCTGCATTGTTGCATGTGTCTCAACTAGACCAGCGGAAAGTGATGCACCCAAGTGCATTGGGATTAGAAGTTGGACAGGAGATTCAGGTCAAGTATTTTGGCAGGGATCCTGTGAGTGGGCAGATGCGATTGTCCCGGAAGGTCCTCCAAGCACTTGCTTCTCAGAAGGTGAAAACTCTTGGCTTGAAGGATCAGGATCCTGGTGCTAGTTGATCACTTCATCTCTGTTGCCATTTCACTTTAAACAGTTTCATGATGGTACTGATGCACTTTGAGAATGAAAATGACCATGCTCACTTCCTCCTCAGTGATTTATAAAATCCTGTCTGTTGATGAAAACGCTTGTGGGAAATCAAACGACAATGATATCAATGCCCCTTAAAATATTTGAATATATTAAACATTTTTGAATATCATAATAATTGGTGAGGAATCCCCATGATATGATATGATACAAGTTTTGAAGAGTATACATGGTTGTGCAAAATCAGCTTATACAGTGTATCGCGTTTCCCTTTATTTTCATTTACTATGGTAATATATATATATATATTTGTACATATTTTACTATCTTTTGGTCATTGTGTATTCCAATTCATTTTCATTGCATATTTAATTCATGTACATCATAACTGCTTTTGTTTTTTGGTAAGTGTCCAGATGATTGTGTAGAAACCTGAGACCCAAGTGATTAGCTTCAAGGGCCAGGCATTCATAAAAGGGAACACGGGCGAAATGAAAAAGAAAATAAGACAACGGAAGAGTTCAACTCTAAGTCCCCGTGTATCGTTCTCTAACATCAGTCCAAGGCTCAACGTCGAGAGTCCCATGTAGCCAAGAAACAGGAGCGCTTGATGGAAGTGCCAAGTCTGGGGAATATATATAGTTTCACTAAAAGTTTCCATCAAAGGTCCCCTTTTTTCTTCAAAAGGAATAAGGTTTGATAATTACCTTGTGTATGGCCATGAACTGGGCATGTGTCATGACACCAGTTAGAAACTGTATGAAGGCATAGACCTGAACATGCCTGACACTCTGTGGCTGATATTTCTGCATCGGAGCCTTGTGCTGCACAGGAAAAATGGAAATCGAATAACTTTTTTTTCCGTAATAAGATATTTCCTATGCAGTTGGCGTTGAACACATGATTCGAAAGAATTCATGCATGCGTCCATGAATTCGTGAAATTCATGCACGTTCATATTAATGAATGTTGTCTTGAATATGCAAAGCCAAGATATTAAAAGAATAGATATTAAAGCATAAGTACAGCCTAACTTGAGAGCATATAATCTTATGTTTCATCTTTTTTTACACTTCGCATATTTTTCACTCATTCTTAAATATAGGGTGGCTCATAAGTAAGTTTACCAAGTTAATAAACCAATGGATATAATCTGTTGCTCTTTGTTAACTCTGAGGCACTAACCCAGTAAACAAATACTGCCATTGAAAGAGTCTAAAAACAAACGACAATATGTGACAAAATAATGCGACAGTCTGGACAGCCTGTTCCAGCCAGACGACCTTCCCGGAGTACAGAATCTGGAAAATCCTAGTACTGGTTAGATCCGTCTACCAGTCCACAGACTGGATGCCGTCACACTGATTAGTTGTAGTCGTACTATACGCTACAGGGGGCGAGGTTGAACTTAGGAAAACTCGCGAGGTCGGAACGGTTATCTCAAAAAATCTTTAATGTAGCTCAAAGTAGACAAGAATGGCGGTCCAGCCCATGGGTTTCAATAACAGCACAATACAGATTTTCTGCCAGGCCAAACATGGCTATTCGGCCCGCGTAATACAGGGAATGTTACAAGCAATGAAGCAACCTCAGGCACCAGCAACAAAAATACAGACGCACAACAGATATCTATTACAAGCTAGAGCCATCGCGAGGAATAGGAGGGGAAGTACCCATACTGTAGCTGATCCTTTTCAGCCGGTAACCTCAAGCAGGGTTCCCGCTGTCAATGATCAGGCGAACTCTCTAGATGAGCCTCTTACGAGTGGTGACTAATGTGCTTGATAGGGGCCGCTTAGACGAAGCCTTCGAGGGAGGCACTACCGGGGATACAGAGTGGGATTCGGCATGGGTGGAGTAGAGGGTAATGCACCTCGTTCGCCTCTACGAATGCGATCCCCGAGCGGGATGGACGTGGATTAAGCACAAAATGAGTAGATGCTTAGGGCAAAAGCATCTAAGTTCGGACAGTACTTATTGATATCACTGTATGCAGTAGGTACTATCCGAACGGTAGGACACCTTAAAAAGTTGTTATAAAAGTCGAAGCATTTGCGAGATCACCCTCAGGAACAGCTCCTTCAGGCTGCAAAGACCTGTTTCTGAGGGAGAGCTCATTGTTTGACATGGTAGCAATGTACGTGATAGTGTCTGGATGGTTCTAGCATAAGCATTTCCTTTCCCTTAGTTTGTCAATGCAGGCTAAACTCTCCCAAAACAGGTCATGCTGTTTCCATTCGGGCTCAGCAGGCTCTACCTCCTTAGGCGATAAACACTATTCCTTAGTGAATAATTCCTAAACAGCTACTTCCGATGTAAAGTCATGGACATTCCTGAGTACAGCTACGAGGGTGGTATGGGTGGAAACATCCAACTTTCCGATCTTCACTTGTGGGTATTTGCCGAAAGTGGGTATTTTCTTTCAAAGTGAAGTAATGCACTTCCTCCATGATTCTAAGAAACTGAACAGCCTGTAAAACTTCGAAAAAAATTAATATACATCAGTAAAATTGTACATGGGATGGTCAGTAAGACACTTTCACCAATTCATAAGAGTATAAAACATCTGGCTTGGAAAGTTCCGACAAGGAAAAGTCAACCACCAGGTGAGAAATGTAGGCTTTGAATATACTTGACTGACTTTTCTTGGTATTTTTTTTTAAAGACTGGATAAGGGTTGAGGTGGGTTTTTGCACAACCATGAACACATGTGCTTAAGTCAGAGGAAAATGACAAACCTGGTTAACATTGCACATTGGAGTTTTTGCAGAAAGTTGCAAACGCTAATGTGTTTTTGATATAATTGTGAATGTGCACCAAATTGTAAAATGGACTATAATATGTTTTCACCTTTAAGTAGTGGCCTTTGGTCATTCAAATAACTGACCTTTCGGACAACCCAACTTGCCTACGATATTGTAGAACCTGAGGCCGCTGAAATTTTTACTGGGCGTGTGACAAGCCAATAGCCTCTGTCCCTAATGCTGTCTCTCGTTGGTCTCTATGTACTATTCTTCACCATCACTTTCACTTGTGAAATATCTGTTTACATTAATTGTCAACACTTTCCTTAAAGTTGGAAAATCAATTTTAGGCAGCTTCACAGCTGGACGCATGTTTGATACAAACACCCTCCAAACGTTCAAAGTTTCAACCCTGTCTACCTCACCTTTCCTCAAAAACGTATGTTTGCAACATCGATAATACTTGTTACTTTCCATGAATATTCATAGATGGACAAAGCAAGTCTTATTGCAAAACATGAGGCAAACCAAGACTAGCAAGTCAAAGTCGCACCACCTGTATTTGAAAAGCACTAATTGACCATACTCCGTGGAAAATTCTCAGATGAAATTGCATTCACATGCCGTTTCTTCGTGAAAAACTAATAACTTAATGACCAGACACCATCTATTGTATCATATGTTACGATTGAATAATAGCTTGTACATTTAAAATTCATTCATATTTTTAATTCCTAATTTCAAGAAGTCATCAGCTTTGAGACTGACATCAGGCAAGAGATCCTTAGGGTAAATCCTGGGTTGTCCGGGTTCCCAGCCTGGGCCATAGAAAAGGACTTTCAGTCGGTCCCCCCAGCTCTTCATATCCCACAGGGATTTCCAGATGTTCTGGAAGTGGTGAAACTGATTCCGAGGGAATTAATTCATTAGAGATGAACCTCGACTGGACTCTTAGAAGCATCGAAAATACTAACTTGGAGTTTGATCGGATTGAAAGTGCTGACTGCGTGGGTAAGGCCATAGGCAACTTGTTCACCTTCGGGTTCAAACGTCCCAAAAATTCGATCCCAGATGATGAGCACTCCTGCATAGTTTTTGTCTATGCAGTATCGGTTGCATCCTGTAAATACCAAAACCCTCAGAGAAAGCTCTTTTTTTCATTTTCCAGTTTTGAGAATAGAATCGAACTGAAACCGTGATGAATTCGATGATGCGATGGGGTGTTGATGATATATTCGAGAGGTCCCAGGGAGGAAATAGTCTCTGTATGAATCCAGAACTGGTAGAGAACGTTCAATTGGGTGTGGACTAGAATATGACTCGGTGGGGCACCCAGCAACGCCGTTGGGAGGTAGAACACCTGTTAAAACAAATTATGGTAATAATACATGTAGTACCGGTAAAGCAGTGGCAGCTCTTGATATGCAGCAGTAGCATGAACAGACAAATTGTCGCCGGACAAAATGTTGTGGACCAAATGTGGTGCCCCGAAAAAACGCCCACTGAAAAAATGCCCACGGAAATAATGCCCACAGTAAAAACGCCCACAAGAAAAAATGCCCACATGCATATTTTCAAATATCTCTTGCAGCTTCTTTTTTATTTGTAAAAAAGAATGCAGTTCAATTTTCCAAATGTGATATATAACCATTGAATACATTAAATACTGTATATCACATCTATCAACGTAATAAACATGAATATGAAGAAAATTCCCAAGATTCTGGAACACTTCAACGTTGGATCAACGAAAGGAATATTATTTCCGGGAATGCAAAGGAAAACGTGAGAAAAAAGTCACGAGATAAGAACTGGTGCGTGGAATTTTTCTGCTAATTCGCTTGTCCTTTGGACCGATTTCAACAGCAATGGAGTAATTGAAGTGTGACATGCCACGTTTGACATGCGAAGGTCCGGTTGCCTACAATTATCTTGGAGGTAGGGGTGTATTGACCCCGAGGAAGGCGGAAAGATAAGCTCCATACAGAGGATCATGGGAAAAAAATATTTGAACATTATTTTAGACAAGACACTGACAACTCTTGATTGACAATTTCCTCCTACCCCCTGTGAAGTATGAGGAGGAGATCATGATGCCATTGTTCGAAGTATCTTCAAACGGATGATATATAAATACAGTGTCTTAAGCTTATTCATTTTTTCACTTCACGTAACCCTCTTTTCTTTCACCTCAAGTAACCAAAACTTTTCTTTCACTTCAAATAACCATGGAGTTCATCTTGAATCAGAAAGGCGGACGGAAAATTATCTTCAAAGTCTTCATGTATGTGAAACACTCCCAGAAGAACGACAAAATCCGGTGGCGCTGTGCCCTGCGTTCCCTATCTTGTGGGGGAATTTTGTTCACGGACTGCAATTTTTGCCCAGGAGCAGCACATAACCATGCTCCGGACACGACAGCCATCAAGATCAACAAATGTCGTGTCTCCATGAAGCAGCGAGCGGCCAAGACGTGTGACAAGCTAAGTGTTATCTACTCGCAAGCCATGGTGCATTTGGATGACGATGCTCGTGCGCTTTTGCCATCAGAGGCATCCATCAAA